GTGCCATCTACTATGTGCTAGGAGCTAGGAGGCAGGAGATAGCCGACTGTGATAAAATGTTGGATGATAAATGTTGAATCAACCATTTTTCTGGAAATTCATACTTTGCTTTTCCCCAGCTTTCCCAAAAGGTAACTGAAAATTATGAATTTGATCAAAGGTCTTTCCCAACTCAAAATACACCTCTCCTCTACATATATCACTAGTTTCTGCTGAGGAGCAACACGTAGGTTTTGCAAGGCCAGCTAAGGTTCAGGTACAGGGAGGCTGTGTTCCTCACTTTTGTGATTGTTCAGGAATGGAGCACAGAAAACCTCAGGTTTCCATGTTCTTCTTGTGGGATGCCAGCCTTGTTCCAGAAGTTTCCCTCACTACCTTCCCTGCCCAATGGATGCTCAGTCCCACCTGGTACCCCTGGAAGCCCTAAGGGGCTTCTCCCTACACCCTTTGCTCACATATCCAGGGATGTGTCTCCCTCTGTCCTTCCAGCTGCACACAGAAATCTCCCCTAAGTCACCGGGTGAGGAGTGGATGATGAGCACTTTGCTGGGGGATGTCCAGGCCAGGAGATTCTACATGAAGAGTCAGCTTCAAATTTTTCTTTCTACGCTTAAACCGTTTTTTTCGTGTCACCTTTTCTTGCCACACTAGCAATGCCATCAGAAAACAAAACACATCTGTAAGCCTGTACTTCATTTGCTTCGGGCCTCACAGTGGAAGCAAAGTGTAATTCGATGAGAAAGAAAAAGACAAACATCTCTGTTTAGTCAGTTTTCTTCTCTGTGACAAAATACTTGGCATAAACAACACAGAGGATGAGAGATTTATTTTAACTCAAGTTTAGATTTCAGTCCATGTCAACTGGCTTCATTGCTTTTAGGCCTGTGGCGAGGCATAAATATCATGGTGAAGGGTGTGGCAGAGGAAAGCAGCTCACCTTGGTGCCTCCAGGAAGCAGGGAGAATGGGAAAAGGTCAGAGAAGAAAAGACCAGATACCAGATATAGTCCCCAGGGTCATACCCCTATGACCCACTCTCTTCCACTAGGCCCCACCCCCTAAGTGCCTATCACTTTCCAGTAATGCTATCAAATTATCTCATCGATGGGTTAATACATTTGATGAAGTTGAGCCTTTATGGTCCAACTGCCCACAGACACACCCAGTGCTCTTTACTAACTTCCTAAACATTTCTCAATCCAATTGAGTTGACAATCAAGATTAACCATCACAGTCTTCTTTATAGCTACAACTCAGATCAGTTTTGTCCAGGATGAGAAAGATCAAAGCATAGACAGAAGAAAGCAAGACAAAAAAAAAAAAAAAAAAAAAAAACGATGAAGGAAGAATTCCAAACTAAAAGCTAATTTTGTGACTCAGATAGGATGGCTGTTGTTCACTTGCATCCTGGAGACTATGCCTATTTCATCCAAAAGGCCTCAGAGAACCTGGGAAGGGTGAACATTTAGCCAGTATTTGTAGAACCTCATATTCTGTTCCAGGATCTCTGCACATTGCAGCTAAGCTGCTCTTCAAAGGATTAAGTTTGAGTCATTTGCTTATTTAATTTGCATATAAAAGTATCTGAGAAAAGAACAGATTGTTTCACAAGTTATTAAGAATGAAAAACAATACAAATAAACAAACATGCACAGGCTCTGATGCCAGATAGGCAGCTGAGTATGTGTGTCATGGGCACTTCACATATTTTCTCTGTTCCAGGGCAAACCTTAGAGCCGCTTTCATTCTTTATCCAAGGACCACCCTTGTCACTCCATCTGTGAAATCGTAACCTTGGTCTACACTTCTGCATTATATGAATCAAAATGGCCACATTCTTGTGTGCTATATAGCACCAAGTTGGGGGTGATGCCACTCTTTCCTTGTCAGGGTCCACAGAATCCACAGATCACTGAAAATCAACAGTTCAGCGAGCAGCACAATTGTATGAAATGGGACACACATGTTCATTCTGAAGAAAAAGAGGAGGGAGGACAGCCACACGGCTCTTTGGCAGACAGAGTTGAGTGCTCCACATTCCTTTCTGATTTGGTTGAGTCTGGGAACATGGACAAAGACATCTTCCTCCCCTGTGAATTCTAACATACTTCGTCTCTTTTCTAAGACATCTTTTTACAAAACCAAGAGTGACATTATGATAGAAAAATGTAATTAGTTCTTAAACTGGAAGTAACCTGCAGGTTCCATTAGGAAAAATACATAAAAGACACTAATGGGTGTGATTGCTGCATCAGCCACCTCCATGACAGCGCTGAAGAAATAGTGGTGCCTGCTGAATCCCAGCAGCTACATTTACGCTGGGATTTTCAATAGGAGGTGCATAGTTGTCTGACTTGTAGTACTGTCCATTTAGCGTAGCTTTTTTATAGAGTTTTAGTTAAAATATTTATGGAAAGAGGGGAAGGAAGAAAGAAAAGAGAACAGCTTTTAAATCACTGTCACCTTACGAACTCTCAGATGTTCATAATCCTCCTGAATGATGCTACGTGAATTCTGATCTGTGGGGTTTTGTTTTTTATTGTTTTGAATCTAGGGTCTTGTTCATGCTACACAAGCACTACCACCTAGTTTCCACTACCTCTGACTGTGGCCCTTACCTCAAACATAAGAGATCCCTGTTTGCCAAGTTGAAAGTAAATCTTGAAAGCATGCTTATGTTTGGTTATGTGTTATGGTTTATATCTAGATGATGTCCTCCCAAAGCCTCATGCGTTCATAGGTGGGGCTTTGGTAAGGTGGCTGGATCATGGGTGTGTGATACTCATCAGTGGATTAGTCCACTGAAGAGTCTATAGCTAAATGTGATATTGGAGATAAGGTTTGGTTGGAGGAAGTGAGTCACTGGGCACTGGGGGCATGGCCTGGAGGGCTCTATCTCCCTTCCTCTTCCTTTTATCTCTGCTTCCTGCTGCCATTCTGTGAACGGTTTCTTCTCTGACACTGGCCTGCCTTGGAGCCAGCTGACTGTGGACTGAAATCTCTGTAGACTGTGAGCCAAACAAACTTTTCTTTCTTAAGAGTTGTGTCTTTCTTGAGTATTGTGTCTCAGCAATGAGAAAGTGACTAAGACAGACAGACTGGCTCACCATGATTAAATGGAGTAGAGGGGATTTGCTGCAATATCAGCCCTCTATTGCTTGGTGCTAGGATGTGATCTGGAAGCAGTATCCTGATGGGAACAGTGGGGTTCTTGTACAGTTTCCATTCCAAACATGGCCTGTAGATAAAGCCTTGAAGGACATCACTGCTGTCTGCAGCAGTAACTTACTGGTAACATCCTACTAGTGCCACCATCATTCCTGAATCCCATTAACAACTCCCACCAGACCTGTCTTTGTTCCCTTGGACTAGATCCATTTCTATGACAAAAAAAAGAGGCACTCAATAGAAATGTCCTATACACTAGACATATCTAGGTTAAATATGGATTGTGATCCTACATATATATAATAAGGAAACTTTTGATTTATTAAGAAACACAAATCCTTGCACATCTGTACAAAGCCAAGTGAAGTTTTTCTAAGAATCATCAACTAGAATGTAACTCTCTTTCCTAAGCAGGTTATAAACTAGACTGAAAAAAGGTTAGGAAAAAAGCACAATCAGATACACTTCTCCCTCCTTGTTTCTGAGTTCATTTACATTAGAATACAATTTAAAATACTTTTCCAGCATTTGTCTAGTCACTGAGATAACAATTAGAACCACCTTGAGGATTTGTACAGCCATAGATAGGCTATTATTAACCACACAATTCTACTGGTACAATTTTTGTGTCTTGCAAGGAAACTCAATTCTGCAAGATAATGGCATCAAGGATCTCTTATTCAACCACTTAGTATCCAACTCTTAGTAAAAACATGCTCAGACATACACAGGAGGACCACAACTCTCACAAAGTAAGACAGCAGGGCTCAGGGGAAAGCCCTGTTGTTTTGCTATCTGACATTCAGCAACCAAATGTTTCGGGTACTTTCCCCCAGGGTTTTGGTACTTGGCATTCCCTGGGTCTCAGGTACCTTCCGCCCATAGCAGGTGCCAGAAGAGGTCTGCTACTGCAGATTACAGCTACCCTGCACATGACCTGCTTCTGTGGGAGAAGGCATCCTTCTCTCAGAAAACCTTTCTTATTTATTTATTACTTTTTAATTTCAATAAAGCTGACAAATATGCCAGTAGGAATCAGGAATATTTTTGTGGAATATGAACCACCGGGTAGTTTAACCCATTAACGTAGATTGACATAGGCCCAGCCAGAATCTACCTGCCTGGCTGCTGTGGATTCTCAGCCTTGGTCTCTGCCTCAGGTGCCATTAATACCATTAGTATGATGGGGAGGATGCATTGAGACAAACATAAAATTGTCTTAGAAGCCATCCTACTCATAATGTTTTTACTGAAGCCAGGCATCTGTTCAAAACATTGTAGAAATTCATCTTCATCTAAAGTATCCATGCGAAGCTGAATTCCTAAACAGGTACTGTGAGCACCTGGTCTGTCCAGGCAGAAGGGTCTATAAGCCAGTGCTACCAACTGCACATCCAGAAGGTGGATGCTGTTCCTGCCTGGCTATCAACTCCTTTGCTATTTGTGACCCCAGCGTATCTTGAAGTCACATAATAGGCATCCTAAAGGTAAGGAAATCATACCTGTATCACCCCCAATGATCCACAGATTCTGATGAAATCCCCCGGGTGTATATAGCACGATGCAGTTTCCAGCTCAGCATGCAGGTAGCCTCCTGCTGTACAGAGATATTGCTGCACAACTGAGCACACTCATGTCCCCTGCAGGGTCAAAGAATTTACACTTTCCCGTGTAGAGCTCTACTCTTCTGCAAGCACACTACACCTCCATTTGCAGGACCTGGGCATTGTAAAATCACCAAAGAAATCGAGAAAGACTGCACATTTAACATTTTGTAAGACTATAAATTACATTTGCATGGAGGGAAAAAAACCCCTACATGATGTTTCTTACCTCTGCAGAGGCAGACGCTTGTGTTTCAGCTGAAGTCGCATCAGCTTTGCCCTGGGAAAAAAAGAAAATGGAGAAAGAAGCTCTGTAAGTCTCGGGTTGCATTTCTAGCACACAACTTCAGCATTAAGGACACTGCAAAGGATACTAACCAAGCCTCGGGACTTTTTGTGCCTGAACATTAATCTCCACATGACTTTGTGTGACTCCAGAAGCCTCTTTAGCCTGAAGAAAGCTCTTTAGAGAAGACCTAAAGAGAGGAACTTGCAACTTTTGTGCAACTTTTAAAATTCCACCAGAGGAAGTGATGATATTTCCAACATCAACCTCAAAACTCAACTGAAAAAAGTCACTTGCTTAAGCTCCCAAGGTACAGCGTATATCCAACAAGCCTGTCAACACTGGCCAAGCTGGGCAGATCTTTAAGCTTACTTCACCTCTCATGGCATCAAAGATGCTAGCTCCAGCAACTTAAATCTGCAAGCATATAACTAGACAAAATTGTAAAAATGCTGAGTCACTGACTTCCAAAGCCAGGGATACACCCATCTAGGACTCCTTTCCCCTTCCAAAATCTGTTTTTTGCTAGAATGGTTTGGATGTTACTTGAAGATGTACTTGGCATCGTGGCTGTAGAACAAGGGAGGACAGAAATCATAGCTGTCCTGATCTCTGTGCATACAAAAATTCAGGGGCTGTTTCCACCTTTATTTGATACAGGGCTTTTTCTTGCCAAGTTTGTCCTGTGCCCTCTGTCCCTTGGCTCAGACCCACTAACAAGTAAGAAATAAAGAAAATGCAAAAATTCAAATTCAGCTCTTTTGCCTCCTACTAATAACTGTGGTTCAAACATTAGGAGAGGCTTAGAATTATCATCTAAGCAAGACAGGAAGTCTGACAGGATTTGATGGATCTCTGCTGCCTCCAGCTGTTCCAGGTCACCAGCATCATAAACTTAGGAGTACGTCCTCCACTCCAAATATGTTATTGGAGAAGGTGGCTGGGAGTCACTGGGGGAGGCAGTAGAGGGCACAAAAGGACATCATGCCTTGATGCTCAATAATAGTCTCAGCTGGGGCTATCACAGACCAGCAGGAAATCCTGCCTCCAGAACCAATCTTCTTTGGTCCCTTCCTCTTCCCTGTTCACACTTCCTAAACACCTTTTCCATTTTCTACACCCCCAGCTGGACAGTATGTCAAAATGCCTTTAGCATAATTTTAATATCGTCATGGTCATTTAGATGACATAGAACTCTTTGTATAAACAATTGGGCTCCAGGACTGCTCTGCGAAGAGAAAACTTGTCAATTCAGCAGAGAGCTGTGTGTAAAAGTGAAATGGTCAAATACTTTGGTGTTTTGTTACTTGAAAAAATATACCAAAAATTTCTAGATGAATGATAGATAAATATTTTAGGAAAAGGTATGGATTGCGTCTGTTCTTGAAATTTAGACCATGAGCCAGGGACCTGTGACAAATGTGGATGGCAAGAGGTGAAGCCTTCCTGAAGCTGGAATTTCCAGCCTGGATGACCAAGCAGCACTTCATCCTCAGAGGCCTTTTGACTTCGACCTTTAAGTGAATCTGATAGGACATTTTGCCCCCACAGAAGGGAGTCAGGTCTCTATCCGTGTCTCTCTCTGCTGGTGACAGAGGATCCTGAGCACCTATACACATTCCCCTAAACCACATTTATAGAGTGGTAGGCAAATAGCTAATAGAAGCCATACATGCTATTTTCTAAAGAAAATTGTGCATAGGATTCTAGAAAAACGTGCTACTGTGCAGTGGTGGCTTGGCTGGAGTATCTGCAGATGTGCCCAGTGCTGTCATTGCTCGTCCCTGGAAAGCTTAGCTCTCCCTGCTTCATGCCTACCTCCAGTTCCATGCTGCTGATCTCTCAGTTTGCCTCAGCTGCTTCCCTCCAGGTTTATGTCCAGCATCAGACCTTGGCTAGTCACATACCCACCCAGCCTCAGCTTCTTATGTACAACGGAGGTGAGACAGGGCCTGCCGTGCTCAGGCTGCTGGGGACAGGAGGTGCCACAAGGTTCCTATTGACAGCACTGTCAGCAGACATAGGCCGTGATGCCTGGAGGAATAAAGGGGGTTCCCCCAAATTACAGCAGAACAGGGGACCCGCTGGCCTTGAGCCCTTCTTTGAGAACACTGGCAATGTGGTTCTTGCCTGTGCTCTCCTAGGAATCTTCCCTGAAGGGCTGAGGAGATGAATCTGGGGACCTGGCATTTATCCTGGACTCCTCTCAATTCCCAGTTTGGGAGGGAGGAGAAGCTGAGGTGGTTCTAGGGAATCTCACACAGGTCAGACCTCCTGGGTCTACTCAACAGCACCGGAATTCTGTTTCCTACAAACAATTAAGCCATGCAATCAACCTTAAAAGTCTATCATTTTGAAGTCACCTGGAAATTACCAAGGTGGTTAACATAAATGTTGGGGCTGAGCATGATAGTGCACACCTGTAACCCCAGGCTAAGGCAGAGGGATCCAAGATCAAGCCCAGCCTGGGAAACTTGGTTACTTAGTGGGACACCATCTCAAAATAATTAAAAAGAGAGCTAGGAGGCTGGAGATACTGCTCAGTACGAAGGCCCTGGGTTCAATCCCCAGTACTGCAAAAGAAACGAAGGGTTAGGAGCAATATTTCAGTGTTGATCGTTAAATGTATCTGGTGGCACTGAGACATACTTCAGGCACTTCCTCCAAAAAACGTACATCCTCCCCTTGTTCCTCTATGCTCAGAATTTAGAAGATTCCCAGCCCCTGGAAAGTCAGTCTCTCCCCGCACCCACACACTTTCATTCTGCACCACTAGATGTCAGCAGAGCACACAGCAAGAGAAAATTTGCAGCCAGCAGCCAATGAACTACTGGAAACTCCGGTCTAAAAACAAAAGACTGGTCTTTGCTTTTAAGGCCTTATCCATGTACTACTGAAGGGAGAAAAATTCTAATCTTAGCAAGGATGAGTCTGATTTCCATGACCCTCACTTTCCCTCCTCTCCCTCAACCTGGGCACCTAAACTCACCATGAACCTGCCAGCAGTATTTGGATTCTATTGGCTCTAAGTGGCGAGATTCTGATGCTGTAGGATCAACCAAGAAATGATCTCAGTTCAGACATTTGCTAGTGTGGGGATTTCGAACTGTGAATCTTTCCTAGATGAAGCATCAAGAATGTGTCCAAGGATGGTGTCTCTGAGCTCCTGGGGCTTCACGGCTGAATTTTGAAGGTAGGAAGTGGCAGAGATGGAGGGGACAAGGGAGGGGAGAAAGATGATTCTTAGAGGGGATAGTGACCATTCTTAGGGGCCAATGGGGCCACTGGTTAGTCAGGACAGCGACACAGAAACAGAGGAGGCTGGAACTGGAAATGCTGACAGAGACTGTGCCTTTGCCAGACCATGCAGAAGGAGGGTGTGACTGTCACAGTCGTAGCAAACCAAACATCAGTGCTGTTTCCCCCACCACCATCTCTGGTCCATGATGAAATAGTAGCAAGAGAACAGCTTAGAGGAACTCAACCCCCAGCAAGACAGCAGTCAAGAATAATTTACTATATCTGTTTAGAAGTGATACATAGAGCAAGGTAAACAGAGAATGAAATGAATAACTGCATTTTTAAAATGAAGGGTAAATGCACAGCATACAGAAACGACAAGGGGAAGGAAAAGAAGGAATCAAGTCCCTGAAGTTGCCCTATGCAATCTTCCAGTTTAGGTTTTCTGCTTTTTCATTAATTTTTTATTGCAGTGAATTTCCCATCACAGAACAATAACCATTTAAGAACAATTGTCTAGGAATGTAACTCAGCGATACAGGAACTTCCTAGCATCATGAGTCCCTGGGTTTAATTCCTAGCACTACAAAATAAATAAACATGCAGGTAAACAACTAAACAGTCCTTAGTAACATTATGAAGCTCTCTTATCTTCTAATTCCAAAACACCTGCAGTCATTCTGCACTGAGTAGTCAGTCACTGCCTTTTTCTCCTTTCCCAGCCTCTGGACCAGCCGTCTGACCTCTTTCTCTGTAGATTTTCATATCAATGGACTCAGACATTCTAGGTCTGTTATGACTGGCTTCTCTCACCCTAGCATGTTTACAAGGTTCACCCACATTGTACCCTGTATTAGTACAGTACTTCATTCCTTTTCAGGGCTGAGTCATATTCCATGTGCATACAGAGCACAATTTGTTTATCATTCACCCACTGATGGATACCTGGGCTGTTTCCACCTTTGGGCTGCTGTGAATAATGCTATGAATGTGTGTGTACATATTAGTTTCAGTGCCTTCTTTAAATAATCTTGGGTATATTCTTAGGAGTAGAATTTCTGGAGCACATAGGACTTTTCAGGTGCTCACCTGCCATTTGTACATTTTCTTTGGAGTGATGCTTATTCACGTCCCTCACCATTTTTTATTGGTATTTGTCAGTGGCTCAGGCATAGACTGTAGCTCCTTAGGGCATGGGGAAGGAGGATGTGACCACGAGGTGAGGCGTTGACACAGAGACTGCAGCAGACAGAAAGAAAGGGCATGAGACTGAGGCCCAGCCTTGCTCAGCTAAGAGAGGCAAAGGATGAGGATGTGACCTGCTTGGACTCATGCTAGAAGCAACATCTGTCAGACTTCCCCAAAAATCAAAGTGCCAGGCCTGAGCCTTCCATGAGTTCGAATGTGAATTTGTAATGGCAGCACGGTCCAAGGTGAGGTTTGCCACGGCAGTTGGTCTCGTGCCAGGAGCAGGTGTGAGCTCCCTGGCAGAAGTAAGCACAGCACTCCTCTGGGGATGTCATCCAGAGCAGGCAAGCAGAGCACGCAGAAAGAGCAAGGGCCCCAGGCGCACTCACAACCAGAAGCCTCAAAAACCCAATGGGGCATTGCTCTGTAAAGCAAGGTGTGAGCCAAGAATTTCAGAGAGCAGAAAAGCAAAACGAAAGAATGTGTAAATGCCTGCCTTGCAAGCGAAGGACCTGAGTTCAATCCCCGGTACCAAAAAAAGAAAGTGTAAATGAAATATTTTTTCA